AGAGAGAGGAATATGGGTATGCTTGGTACCAAGCACAAAATTTGTGCTTGGTAGTGAGGTGACATATTATCCTTCACTCATTCAAATAAAGGGATCACATTCACATGAGTTGAATGTGGTCCCCATTTAAATGAGTGGATGAGAATGAGACACATCACTATCAAACATAAAATTTATGTTTAGTACCAAGCATACTCATTTTTCTCATATCATCTACCCTTTAAAAGAGAGAGTTCTTGGAAAACTTTCTCTTCCCCAAGATAACCTTTAACTATTGTAAATAAAACAAATTTATACATTTTATCATTTCATAGAGTTAATAAATCGACAGCCCTAAAAGCCTTCGTTCCTTTCATTCTCCACCCTGTCGATTACGAATCCGCTCTAACAGCCACCTTCGGTTACACTTCTCCTCCGGCAACGTCATCCCACTTTCTTAAATCATCAATTGCCAACGATGAGTATTATTATCCTCATCATCACCGCACCCCCTCTCCAATCATCGCCTCACTTCTCAGATTTTGGGCATCGGTTACGATCACGAAGGAGACTTATTAACGAAGGTATGATTTGATCCTTTTCTATATTTGACTTATGATTTTTAAATTTCTTTCTCTGTGCTCCAACGTAGTTTTTTTCTTTGCGTCTCCACCTTTTTATTACGACAGAACTTCGCTTCCACCGGAAATTGTCTTCCTCACCACCTGAGAATCAAACTCCGGCAACAACTCATGCCCCTTCTTGCATAAATTTTTATTTATTTAAGATGGACCTGGCTTCTTTTAATTGCCTACACCATTCATATAATTGTTTTGGGAATTTTAGATGAATGAAATTAGTGTAGTTGGGAAGATGTGAAAGGATACAAATTATCAGATTAAACTTTTGGAATTGGTCACATAAATTGGCGATTCTTCTCTCAGATTATTATGCATATTGCTTTAGAAAAATTGCAGAAAGAAGCCTTTGAAGTACTACAATATATGCCGGCTTCACTATGTTCCCATTAGTGAATTTTTCTCACAAATTGAAATTGAAGTAATATATGTAAAGAGCATCCTATAGGAGTAGATGTAACCTATGAGTAAAAGGGTTGATAACAAAAATACACTTTACGCTATATTCGACATGAATATGAACATTAACGTAGACCTTATTAGAAGACTCCAATTCCATTTGTTAGACTGATATGGGCTATTGGCCCCTCGATTTATCATATTAAATTTGCACATTTTATTGTCACAAGTTTTGTTTGAAGAAATTTATTCAAAGTTCCAATGGTCTAAAATGTTTACTGAATAAACAAGGTATGTTGCTGTCAAAAGTTCTTGTTAATATCATAGACTTCAGAGTCCTGTATTATTTGCAAGTTGGCTATCTGAACTTGTGAGCCATGTCTGATCTGAAGGTGGGTTCTATGGACCCGGACCTTAGTCAACTGTTAACTAAAATTGTGGTTGAAGGACAAGTGACAGAGTGGGCTGTGGGTAGTTCTAGGTTCATTTACAACTAGGTAAAAGCCAAAACAAGAGAAATAAAAAGAGCTTATTCGTCGACGCAACAAGCGCCTTTCTTTTTCTTCATAAAGGAATATAACCAGAAAGCTTTGATGAGAGTTTTGGATCTTTCACTTTCAAGTAGTGCTTGAGAGAGGAAATGGCAAAGCCACGAACCAAGCTGACCGAATTGAATCTTTGTAAGGACAGTTGAATGAAAAGAGCGTCTTTTTGGCATACAAAGAAGGGGGAGAATCTAAAGGAAAAAGAACCAGATGTTAGCTGGTGAAGTGTCAACCTTGGTGCAATGCTAAAACCTGAGAAACCTCTAATGTGTATATGACTGTACATGGTTATAGCAATTAAACCTTGGAATATTTTACCTTGTAATTATTTGTTAGTATGATTTTGTTTTTTTTAAGTTTGTCATCTATAAGAAATGAAGTAAACATTGTATAAACATTGTATATTTTTGCATGAACCGATACAATATAATGACTTCGAGGCACATGTTATAATTGAACTATTTTTTGAAAGCTGCAAGATGTAACTCCAAAAATTAAAATTGAGTCAGCATCATTTCAGTAACTTGTAACTTTACAAGTTTAAAGAGGCAACCTATAACTTCATAGAAACTATGCTTTAAAATGAAGTGTATGAATGATAATTATGATGGTAATTTCTTAATAATTTTATATGCCAAAAGCACTAATTTATAAATATTAGCTTGCTGGTTTTTTAGGTGGTTTGGAGCAAAGTATGATGGAAATCTTAACTTCAATTCTGAAGTATATGGAAATTTGAACTTAAATTTGAAAGCTTAGTTTGTCAAGAAAATTAGTTTCTGATGATGATGATGTACCATGACTAGATTGTATATGATTTACATGTCAGTCTACTTTTGTGCTTGTAAATATGTCATTAAAGTTCCTTATTCTATTTGCTTAATAAACCTTCCACACTATCTTCCTGATGACATGACATGTTTATGATTTTTTCCACTATAGTAGGATCGTTGCATGAGATTTAATTCTTTGATTCTAATCTGCCATAATTTTTTCAACAACGTATCAATTTTTAATTAATATATTCTTGAATTTGTTCGGTGATTCATGATGACCAAGAGTGATTAGATGAAGAAAAAAATAAAAAGCACACAGCCTAATGTCTACCACCTCTTAGAATGCTTTTGATGCTTGCACTTTGTATGGTTGAGTGCTTACGTAGCTTGTTACCACCCAATACACTATTTCGGTATATCTGTCTATGTTCATGAATGCTTCACCATGCACTTTTAGAATAGTTAATATGCTTGCACTTTATATTTTAGCTCATCCAATTACTGCACTTTTTTATTAAAACTTTCTATGTGCATGCACCGGTTTCATCGAATTTGTTATTTTAAGAAATAAGATCCGAATCATTTTTGGTATTATATAGCAGGGAAAGGAAGCGAACAAAGAAAGGAGGTGAACTAATTTGTTCCAGTTGTTCCTAGGACTTGAGTGGAGGAACATTGGTGCCTGTTGATGGATTGGATTCTCCACTATATGCACTTGAGGTTAATATTTATAATTTATTTAAATAGATAGAACAAAGAAGATTTAGTTGCCTTGCAATAGATAATTTGACTTTTCATCTTCTGGAAATTGTTTACTTTACAGTAGTTCAAATTTGATAGCTCGGCACGATCCTTAGAAATATTCATTTACAGATAAATCCTGAGAAGGCCAGAGAGGAATTCCGCAGTGTAAGTAAAAAAAATGGAGGTACCGGAGTTAAAAATTTTATGGACAGTATGGCTCTTGGAATGCTTGCTGACCAGGTAGAATCTAATGACATCATAGATTGCAACAATGACTGAAAGAAATTCATTTTTTTGGTTGTCTATTAAAGTCCTCAAGAGTACTATTTATTCCAATATTTCCTCGCATAAGGTTTACAGGTTTTGGTACATTGCTTTCTCTATAATAAGCTGAAAGTTACTATAGGGAATGCATTCTTAAGTGTGTGATTTGCTCAAGTTTTAGGTTCAATGATTCTTTTCATACAAGTGGAATTATCTCTCCTTGTTCATAGTTTTGCATGTTTCTTATATTCTATGCCAGCATATGGAATTTATTTGTTGGCAGACTGATTTGCTATATGGTAAGGTTTTTGCATATGTTTCTTGTGTTTTACTTATATTTTAGTTTGTTATGGTTAAGCTAGGAGAACTTGTTAGACCCTAGAGGGGGGGTGATTAGGGTCTTATGCTAATCTAATCCGATTAAATGCCAATTAAAACTAATTAATAAGTTATCCTAGCAAGTATAAAATACAACAAGATATGTAAGCTAGGATAAGCAATATGAACAAATGAATATATCCTATCAATGAGATATTACAAATATATGAGCAAGGATATATGAACTAACACAAGGGTAAAATAAACAATCTACACAAGTGATAGGGTAATATGATGAGCAATACACAAAGGCGATATAAGATATGAAAACAAGAATAAGAACGCCAATGCAATCACAAACAAAACGATATGATCACGGAGTTCGGTCTAACCACTTGACCTACGTCTCCGCTCCTCACCTCGAGGAGATCTCCACTATCACAACCGGGTTTTCTACGTTCACCCGAACAACGTTTACACCTCACAATACAATCACTATGTAATCACACCTCACACACTAAGTGTTGGTCCTAGCCCGTGTCCTCCTCCTCAAGTGCTCGGTTACAACCTCTCCCTAGGCACGTCAACCGACGCCACTCCTCTTGGATTCGACCCCGTCTCTCACCACACACTTCTCTCGGTGTACAAGAGTATTACAAGTGAATCTTCACAATTAAGCACAAGATAAATCAATTGATTGTTCTCTAAACAAGGTGAGAACTCAATTAAGCATAACTCTTAGTCACTAATCTCACAACCCAAAATTATACTATGAATGTAAATACAATAAGCTCAATAGGTTGTGTGTGAACAAAGAGATAATAAAATCAACTAAACTCAATATGAACACTAGCTTAATAAAAAGATAATCAAACAATATAAAATATGAAGCTAGATTGAGTTTAGAAAACTTCTCAATAGATCAAGAGTGGAAGGAGAAGAGTTGGATGCTCAAACACGCTGATTTTAAAACATTGTTTAAAAATATCAAATAAATTCCAAAAAATGTAAAACTTTGGAGAATGATTGTAGACATGATAATACACATGCTACAAAAACTGGTTTTCTAAAAAGACTTCCCAAATGAAAAATATCATCATTTTACAAACATGTTCAAAAACATGAAAACCTGAAAATTGATATTTTGATATTTTGTCATAAACCAACTTTTGAAACTTTGTGAAATATTTTTATAGACTTAGTAAAACATGTATAAACTGATATTGAAGTCTATAAACTAAGAATACAATATTTTCACAAATACAATAGAAAATGAAACCTATGAGTATGTATATGAAAATATATTTGTTTCATATCTATGTAGATAAACCAAATCACAATAATAAATATGAAACATGTAATTTCATATTTATGAACATGAAAACTAAAACTTGTGTTGTATATATATATGACTACATATATATACAAGGAAACCAATAAAATGTGTGTGTATAGATAATTGAGCTTAGAGTATATAACACACATAATATAAATCCTAAACTACATTACCCAAGCAATCTTGATCTTCAATTAAGCTTGACTTGGTACACGTTGCGGATGAAGCTTGAACTTGATCTTTAACTTGAATTGTTGTATAGGCTTCAATCCGACATTCCGCCAACCTCCATTAGATATGATCATTATGGCGCAATCCATCCATCCTCCAACAAGTTGTTTGTCTACAATGAATAGATAACACAAGCACTAGACAAACAACATTAGTTATAAATTGTTTGTTAAACATCATCAAAACAAGAAGGCCAACAGAACTCAAATTAGGAGAGTTACTGGACTCACCTCCCCAAGGGCTGGATGAAGCTATTGCAATCTCAAAGGTATGATATTTTAATCAAGCTGTTAAACAGAGATTGTTTTGTTTATTTTATTTTATTTTATTTTTTGGCAGAAACTTGAGTTTTTTATGCCTGTCAGATTTTTTTCTAGGTTATGCAATTTGTTGAATCACAAGAATACAATATTTTTAGTCGTATAGTATTCGGTACTGCTCCTACAGTAAATACATATTTCCTGACTATATTTCTTTTTGTTTTGCTATTTATTTCTTTGGAAGTATTGTTTGCCATTTGTTAGCTTCTAATGTAAAATAGTCTTATATGTACCTGACTGATGCAATTCCATTCTCATATTTTTGTTAGGGCCATACTCTTAGGCTTTTGTCATTGCCTGACTTTTTGGATGCATCCATTGACAAAATCTTGAAGGTATGAGTTCTGGAAAGGGATCACCTGTTAAGTCCTTTAAAACTGAATCTTGTATGACATAAAAAGTTTTACTGGATAACCATTACTTGTTTAATTTATAAGTCTGCTACTTCTCATGATGTTTTTTTTCCTCTTGAGAGAGAAGTACGTTTAGTCTTTTATTGCGGTTAGCCTTTTATTTTGTATTTTTCACATTATATTACCTCTTTCAAGGAATGTGGTTATCTATTTTACTTCTTTATTGGCTAATCTCTGAATGACTTCAGAAAACCATAATTACATAACAAAATCACTAAGCAGAATTCTGAATGTGGTAGTACATGTGCCTGAATCTTTATGGTGTAACTCTCCATCTTGAACACTTTCTTCTCTCTCCTCGTGTGAACTCCCAAGGCCTTCTCAAACAAGGCTAAAGGTCAATGAGCTTGTTCATTATTTTGAAATACACCTACCAGACATTCTTTTAAATGTTACGCTGTTTCTGACATATTACATTTTAACAATATTTTCCTTAACCTGCAAAATTAGTATTCACTTAATTGTTAATTGCAGCTCGCTGTTTGTGTACCTCATAGGAAACAACTTGGAGGAAAACTTGGAACCTCTTTGCAAAGTGATCTCGGAGTGAATACTCTTGGTGATCTTCTACATTTCTCTGAATACAAGTCACAAGAGCTTTATGGCATTAACACAGGGTTGGTGACTTGGTTTATTTACCATGATTGAAGGATAAGGATATGTTTGTATGACATGTATGTTCAATCTTTCATGGGTTTATTAAGAACTAAGGTCAAATTGCCAAGTTGGGATGACATATGTTTCAACCAATTTTACTTATATACCAAAAGTTAAATAATTAAGTATTTAGCAAGTAAAATGTTTAAATCAACAACAATTGACTGCTATGAAGAAGCTAGAAAACTTGCGATGTTGTAACCTCCGTTCATAAGCTAGCATGTTGCAATTTGAATTGAGGAGATTTGGTTGCTGTTCAGAAGGATTTGAGGCTGTCAAAGGAACTAATTGAGACTACTCTGGGTTCTTCCACACTGTGGTGGCTAGCAAGTGGTAAGGTGGAAGATATGATTATTTTGGGTGCGTTCACTACAACAGAAAAGCTAATCCGCGAGGAACGAGTTTGTCGTTGAAAGTTGAGATTTCCTCGCCGTAGTGTGTTCGCGAGGAAAAAACTTTGGTCACCATTTCCTCGCAGTAGGGTGGTCAAGAAAAGTTTCTGCGAGGAATATTATAATTTCTCACGAAATCATTTTTGCGACGAATATATTCTTTTCTCGTTATTACTCTTTAGCCTCGATATTTTTCCTCACCTAATCTCATGCCTTTTTCATCGCTAAACTACAGTTTCCTCGCTAATAATATGTGAATAATATTTAATTTATATATAATAAAATTTTTAAAAAAACTATTTTCGTCGTTGTAAGTACCTTTCAACGAGGAAATTGTTCCTCACCAAAGGTAAATCATTAACGAGGAAATTGATTTTCTTCATTATATGTATCTTTTTCTCGTGGAAACAGTTCCTCAGTAAAGGGACTCAATGACGAGAAAATTTAAATTTGTCGTTGTAGGTTGTACCCCATATTCCTCACCAAAGAAATTCAATTACGAGGAAATTTACATTTGTCGATATAGGTTATATGGTCTATAGCGAGGAAAATTACTTTTGCCGTTATAGGTTGTATCACTATAGCGAGGAAATATGTTTTTGTCGACATAAGCAGTATACTCTATAACGAGAAAATATTCTTTTGACGATATAAGTATGTGGCCTATTGTGAGGAAACATATTTTCGTCACCTTAAGTTGTAGGGTCTATTTTGAGGAAATTTACTTTCATTGACCTAAATATATAGTGAGAAAACTTATAATGAGGAAATTTTATTTCATCAATAATAATGTTATTAAGAGAAAAACACAAAATATAAATAATTATCATCAATTGTCACCACAGTACATCAAAACAATTAAAATAAATAAAGCAAGAAAGTTACTACCATAAGTAACAATGCTAGTCTAAAGCAATAACAAATGCAACACGATCAAAGAAACATTTCTCCAAGTGTAAGTTCACTAAGAATACTAAGTTGATGGATGTTGCCCCGAAAAATTAGCCATAAACTCCTCAAACTTTTTGGCTTGCTCCTCCAATCTTTGGATTACCTCATTTTGCGCATCGATCTTCTGTTGTCCAGTTCCTACAAGTTGTTGGGTCTCTTGAAGCTGTTCTTGCAACTCTTTATTCTTTTCAGACATTTCACTCATCGAAGAACGAGAGAACCTTAATGGTGGTGGTCTAGGGCCAAAACCATATCCCTTAATGTAGCCTGATTTGACTTTAAGAACTTTTGCACAAATTTTCTCATCTGTCATTGTTCGAGTTCCATCAGGTTGAGTGGTATCTGCTCGTATCTTTATCATTTGATCCTATAAGTAAAACAAAAATATATCCAGTTCAATCATATGCAACTTCTTAATTACAACCATATCAATATAATCCTCTTTAGAACAGTAATATCAATTTCACCTATATTCTTAAAATATTATAAAAGCATGCATCATTGACACGTTACTTACCCATTTTTCCTTTGCTCCCAAGTCTCATCCTTTTTTTGTACTTCTATACTCTGTTTCAAAACGATCAATTGCACCTTGCATCTCTCCAGTCTGTGTTGCCTATTGCATTCAAACATATTTTCATTTTCAGCAAATATATATGTACACAATTAAGTTACAAATTTATAAGCAAAACTAAAAAGTGTCTTACAATTTGCTCTTGGTGTGACATAAATGATTTTGACCCAGCTTTGTGGTGATATGTCAACTTTGACCTATTAAGAACATTCTTCTCTGAGCGAATCTAAAATTATTAAGACATACAATTAGAAAGAAGTAAATGAAAAAAGAAAAAATGTAATGCGTGGAGAAAAATAAAAAAGATATTGTACCTTAAACTTTTCACTAGAAAAATGAGTGCAAAGAAACTCCCATTCTTCCTGAGTCTTGACAGCTTCATGTTTGTTTTCAATTGCCTCCTCAATTGTTGAAAACTGCTCAAAATGTTTCTTCAACTTATAGAGAAAATTACAATATACGGTCTGACATGTTGTAATTACATATCTCTAGACCCAAGAGAGCGACATATCAAATTAAAACTTATTCTGCACAGGCATAATTTCATGTCAAACTAAATATAACAAATCAAAGCAACCAATATAATGCCTTTAGCAAAACAAATCATCACTAACCTGCATTCTTTTGATCAAGTTCTCCACATCTGCTTTTTCAATCTTCTTCCATTTTCCCACATTCAGTGGGGTGTAGTTTCGAATTGTGTAACCAATTTCATTTGCAAACATCTCAGCATAAGGGCCCGTAGGTCTGCCATTTTCTTCGGTCAGAGTCACAAGTATTTTAGAATTCAATTGGGAGAACACCTTATCTGCATTCACTCCTCTTGTCTTCCCTCGCACCTTTTTGGTTGTACCTTTGACATAATTTTTATTAAGAACATAACACATACGTATATTTAATTCTCAAATATATGTATATAATGTTTTGTATACCTGGAGGAGGCTCCTGATTAATATCTAACATCACATTATCATCTCGTTCTTCAGCTATGGTGTTTACCACTGGCTGATCATTAACACTTTGTTGCTGAAGACGTGCACTAACTCTAATACCTGTCATTCGAGTTTGTAGTTTAGGTATACCCTTGTAATTTGCAATTGATGAAAATGAAATTCAATTCAGCTTCTCTACACCTTTTAGAGGAAAATAATTCAATTCTGCTCAATTCAACTGAATTCAGCTCAATTCAACTGAATTCAGCTCAATTCAACACCACTTACCAGTAGTAGTTCGTTCTGTGGTGACAACAGTACTACTAGAATTCAGTCCATCTGCTACAGAATTTTGGCATTCTTGATTGGAAGTTTGCAGACGAGTACGTTTTGTACCTATTAGCATACACACTTGTTAGATAAGTAAAAACTAACAGTACTTAAATATTCTAGCAGTAAAATGAAGATTGCATATTTACTCGGATTAGAACCGGATCCATTCCTTGCAGAATTCATGTATGGCAGATAACTAGTTTCTGCATGAGAACGTTTCTTTTTTAATAATTCTGCATGTGATTGATTACTTGGTGCATTACCTATTGTTACATAAACGTTAAATTGATAATAATATTCTAATCAACCAAGTGAATGAATCATGAATTATAAGAGAAATATGCACTACTTACCAGAAGTAGAACTTTGAACGATAGGCGCTTTGTTACGGTACATCTTCTCACTGTTTATTATCAAACAATTAGAACGGTCAAAATGCAAAAGAATGTAAACAGTAAAAACTTTGCTAGAAAATAGATCAAGGTGGTAGATTGCAATCGGAACCCTCTTTAAAGGTGGTTTCTGTACAAATGAGCTTTGAAGGTGGTTTTCATACCATCACTATATTGAATTATGTAGATCCTAGCATTTTGGATGTAACTATTCAATATACATCACAATACTGAAATGGTTTCCAGCAATTGCTACTAGCTAGTAAATCATCAAATGGATGACTCTCGGATTGCTCTTAATATGGATGTGCATGGAATTGCTGCTCTAAAGATATGTCTATAAGAATCCAGCTGCAGTGATGGTAGCCTTCTCCTGTACTCCAAGTCCACATAATATGGACAGAGTGCTGATGGTACCTAATATTATGCCAGTCCAACATCGTCAGGATAATCCAAGCAGCACATGCAGGAAACAACTTTCCGCTGTAAATTTTGCTGCAGAACCAAGATCAGTCGCAAATCTAAAGTAAATAACAATAATGAAATACAAGGAATAAAGCATTTTTACTGACACCCTCAACCATGCACAGACTTCAGGATTTGAGCATCAGGTTAATGAACCTGATAAATGGAAACAGCCTGAAACATGGGATTTACAGCATTGGGATTTACAACTATCAGTTTCCATTAAAGAAGTTGCATATTTTGATCAAACCACCAAATATATCCAAACTATCTCCATTCCACCAAAGAGACTTTACAGAACTAGGTTAATAATCACAAGAAGTAGTTTAACCATCAGCAACTGATACTTTGCTGTCAATCATCTGAATTAAAAGTAAAACTCATTCCAAATTCCAATTAACTGGCTATCACTCCAGAAAAAAAACATAGTAGTATTTTGGCACATCAACTCATTCCAAATTCCAATTAACTGGCTATCACTCCAGAAAAAAAACATAGTAGTATTTTGGCACATCAACTGAACGTTAGAAATTGTATATGTAAGGGTTGAGCATATTTAATCTTTGCTTCAGGTGAAAAGCTACAGTCTATTATATATTATTATTGTTGACTGAATACAAACTGAATACAAAATTATCTTGTGCTCACTGTGACATTAGCTGCAGGAAATTTGTCCGCAAGATATCTTGTGCTCACTCCTACGGAACAACCAATGTCTAAAATATCCTCAATTTTAGAGCTCCCAAATTGTAGAAGGTGCTCTTCAATTGCTTTAATCCAGTTACTACGAAGAACCTGGTTTGCCTCATCAATTGATGAAGCATCAGGTATTGCTCGCTTAGCAATTGATAAAGTGGCAGCTTCTGCTTCTGCTGCTGCCTGCCATAATAGCCCATAGTCTTCCAACTTGTTAGCAGAATAATTATATGAAAATTTATCTTTCAAAATTATAGAACAATCATATTATGTTTCACGTAACCTCAGATCCCATCCTGAAGAATAATTCCAAATAATTATCTCTTGAGAGAAAATGAGGAGAACGACTCTTTAAAGAAATACCAAGAGTATGATCGTCTTGTGTAACTTAGACCTCAGGATACTATGCAATGAAATCTATTAAATGGTTCCTCCTAGAAATAGGCTTTAATTATAGATTCAAATGGTCTAAGAAATCTATTTAAAGAATGAATGGAATAATATTATCGTAACATTGATAATAGAAGTGCTTCAGTTGCACTATTTGTATTTATATTATGCTTCGGATGAATGCAATTTCCTTTATGAAATCACATCATATCTCGTCTTCCTATACACTTTCTAGTAGGCAAAGAGAATAAGCAGACTACTTGATTATTTCATATTAAATAACATGATTAATAATAAGATAGGTCTTATAATGCCCACTGTTAATAATAAATAATGCATGTGATGTAGGCCTTCTATGAAACCTGCTAAACACCAGCATTCTTTGTCTTTGCTATTTGCTATTTAGCATTTTCTTCGCCAATATTGTTGGAAAAGTTTAAGGTTTTCTATTTATCTAAAATCTAGCAATAACAAGCATATTCCACATTCCTAAGAATAGCGATCATAACAACTAAACTTCTTAGTATCACGGCCTTACTAATTTAATGCTCGCTAGAGTGTACAAGAAGACAACTAATCTTTTTTGATACTCTGGTATTACTGATTAATGATTCCTACATTACATAAAGAGACAATTACTAGCAAATTTCTGTTTCTTGCTTTAATTATTACTGTTTTCAATATTACCGAACAATTCCAACTCCATATAGTAGCGAGATGCTTGCAGGAAACCAACAATGACGAAATAGTTAGTATCATCTGAAAGTATAGTGCAATCATCATAAAGCTTCACTTAAGAAATAAATGTGTACCAGCCAACTTTGGTTCCCTTGATTGAACAAGAGATTTCTTTTTGGTTCCCTTGATTGAATCAAAGATCTGTTAATAATTTCATAAATTAGATGCATAGCATAGAATTCACCCAAAATCAAACCCACAACTCGTCCCCACAAGCTTCAAGATAATTGACATTGACGAATCACAATGCGTTAAAATAACTCAAGTTTTTCAAAATTAGTTTCCAAATGCAATGGATTAAGGATTTCTTCTAACAGTTAGCAAAACTATAACAAAATCCGAATGTAAAAACCACAAAACTATTATAAATTCTTGTTACAATGCGATTTCTCGTCTAAATCAAATATTTGCTACTAACTTCATAAACAGATTCACTTAATAAAAATCGTCCAAAATAACTCAAAAATCCCTATTCAACTAGACAGTACAAATGTAATCCAAAGGTCAAAATCACAGCACTATCAATTACAAAGTAAATCCAAGAAAATGGTATGAAACATTTATTAACGAAAACCAAATCGGATCCAAACCTCTGTCCAAGAAAATGATATCAAAATCACAGCACTATCAATTACTAAAACCTCTATTATAAAAAAATCTTATTTTAAGTGATATGATTACTAATAAATACCTAGATTTCAAGCCACCGCATTTATTAACGAAAACCTAATCGGATCCAAACGAGACTCGACGGCGGATCCTGGATCCATGCCCGATACCAGAGGTTTCGGTGGACTTACCACACGTGATCTGCTGCTCCGCCGGCGAAACTATGATGTGGCGATGTCGGTTGGGTCTATCGGTACTCTCCTCCGTCGCTTTCTCAAATTCAATGAGATCCGCGCCCAAATCTATGAGTAAGGTGAGCACTGACGACGGTTTAACGGAATGGCGACGGGGACGAACGGCGGAGTTCGACTCGGAGCGCGCTTCTGCCTGCCGCCGCTTCGAAGAGAAAGAAGAAGAAGGAGGGCTCAGCGACGGGAGCTTTGGGGTTATTAATTTTGATCGATGGGAGATTTGGGGTTATTAATTTTGATATTGGACCGCTCTTTTATTTGAGTACCCGCTACTTTTTAGTTAAATTCCCACTAAAATTTTCCCCAATGAATAATGAGTATATTATTAATTCCTCACTGATTAGTTTTTTAACAAGGAAATGATTTCTCACAGAATAAAATATCAGATTATTTGTGACCACGATGCACTGAATTGATAGCGGATTCAAATCTCCCAAAACTCACAGTTACTTTTTTGTATACAAAATAAAAAACAAAGGTTTTTTCTATATTAATTAGATGCACAGAATTGATAGCGGATTGGGGATTTTTACAAGTCAAGATAATAATAAGGTTTAAAATACAAAATAAAAAACAAAGGTTTTTTCTATATTAATTAGATGCACAGAAGTGATAGCGGATTAGGGATTTTTACAAGTCAAGATAATAATAAGGTTTAAAATACCTAGATATCAGAAAGGCGGAGAGAAGCAACCACAATCTGGAAAGCGGCAGTCTTGAGGTGTGATCGGACAGACGCCCAAAGATCTGGAAATTGACGGTCTTGAGGCGTGATCGGAGATCAATTAAGACTTTCAGAGCGGAGCTTTGTTAGGTCGTGCGGAGGATCAGGGCTTTGTTGCGAGCGACCGGAGTTTTTTGGGCCGATCGTGCGGAGAGGATGAGGATGAGGTGAGAGCGGAGGGGTTTAATCAAAGGGAGAGCAGAGGTGATGAGGATGAGTTGATCAAAGCGGAGGGGTTTAATCGAGAGGGATAGCGGAGGTTAGAAGAGAAAGAAATTACCGCCTTCTTAATTTGTTTCCCGGTTTTATTTGGTCCCGTAAATTTGGTTTCCCGGCTTAATTTTAATAAAAATATTTATTTTTTCTTTTAATTTAATTGAGATATAATTAAATATCATTTAGCAACCAACTTTTTTTTAGTACCCGCCTACATTATTCATTCGCAAAACCCGCTCTTTTCTTTGAGTACCCGCCTACTTTTTACCCAAATTTAAACTAAAATTTTAGCCAACGAATAATGAGGATATTATTATTTTCTCGCTGATTGGTTTTTTTAACAAGGAAATGATTTCTCACAAAACAAAATTTTTTAGCGAGGAAGCCTTAAATTTGTCGCCATTGAATTTGGCGGGTTTTGCACATTTTTTCGCCAAACTAATAATGAAGAAACTATTATTTCCTCACAAATTGATTCTTTTAATGAGGAAAGAGTTCCTCGTAAAACAAAAAAATTAGTGAGGAAACCTTCAATTTGTTGTTAATAAATTTGGCGGGTGTTGCACGTTTTTTCGCCAAATTAATATTGAGGAAACTATAATTTCCTCGCTACTATTTTTTTTACGACAAAATGGTTCCTCGTAAAATAAATACTTTTAGCGAGTAAACCTTAAATTTGTTGCTATTGAAATTGACGGGTTTTGCACAATTTTTCGTCAAACTTATAATGAGGAAACTATTATTTCCTCGCTAATTGGTTTTTAAACGAGGAAACAGTTCCTCATAAAACAAAAATTTTAGCGAGGAAACCTTTAATTTGTCGTCAATGAATTTGGCGGGTGTTGCAAATTTTTCCGCCAAATTAATAGTGACGAAACTATAATATCCTCACTAATATGTTCTTTTTAACACGAAAACGATTCCTCGTAAAAACAAAAAACTTTTAGCGAGGAAGTCTTAAATTTGTCACCATTAAAATTAGCGGGTTTTTTCTTTCCCGCCAAACTAATAATGAGGAAACTATTATTTCCTCGCTAATTAATACTTTGATGAGGAAACTGTTCCTCGCAGATTATGGATCTTCAGCGAGGAAATCATACTTTGTCGCTGATACATTTGGCGGGTTTTCCTCTATTTTTCGCCAAAAGAACAGCGATGAAATTATTATTTCCTCGTTAAATGTGCATTTCACGATGAAAAAGTTTATCACCAAAATCTCATATTTCCTCGCCAATAAAATAACTAGTTAGGAGACCAAATCATGATCATCTTTAGTGAGGAACTAAAATTTTCATCGCAGAAAGTGGTCTGCTGTGAGGAAAATATATTCCTCGTAGAAGACCTACTGATATTTACGGAGGAAACAATATTTTCCTCGTCGAAAGTGATATTTGTTGAGGAAAATAATTTTCTCAAAAAAAAATTGGTCGCTAAAAGACATGTCTGTTGTAGTGGTTATCTCCTAGATAGATGAGCAACTTGTGCAGCAGGAGCTGTGCTTTTATTCTCCTATGATATTATGTTGCATATTTCCATATGATTTTGCATCCATTCACAAATCTTTTAATCACAGAAATTGTACAATGTCATAACCACCATCATTTAAGATACTGCACGATATAATGTTTTAGTACATGTACTCATCATTTTGCATCCATTATTTGTTTTGCCATTACATGTATGGAAGATAAGGCTTGGTGAAATTTAAGATAAAAGATATTATCTTGTAATAGTAAGAAACCCTAGATAATCCAAGAGTATGATTCAAGGAAAGCCATCTCAAATCAAAAAATCATCGTCAAACTAAAAAAGTTCATGGAGTTAAAACTAAAAGGGAATATATGAGCTTGTGCAATAAAGGTAGTACTACGCAAACTTTGTATTATAGAAAGGGTGTGTTTGGAGCTTGTCAAACCTTAGTTTGTAGAGAACTTAACGACTGTGTTGGATTTTTTATAGGATTGTCAATAATTCATGAGTGAATATATGTACTCATACATTAGGTAGTGCGAAGACTTAGCAAGACTCTAATGTCATACGCTTGGATTTACATCCACATCATCAAACATTACGTTTAGGTATATTCTTGTGATAGTTTTTGATTGATCAATCACATTGTACATACGACCACTGTACTAACACATAATTGATCACTAAATATAATTTTATTATTCAAACATTGTGAATTTTTAGCTTCTATTCATATGTTGGCTATATTGTTTACATTCAATAAATTTATACCAAATCTTTCC